AGCTGGCCTGCAAAACATTTAATATGAACCGAGAGCAAAATAACACGAGGTTCAACTCACCTTGCAAACGAATGTAGGTGAAGTATAACGTTTTACCTTGTCCTGCAATATAATGTGTCCTGCCTTATAAAGGAAGTGATTGTGGAAGTCCGTTTTTGAACTGAAAACCAGAAGATCTTTGAGATGAAGATCATGCAGAAATGTTTTCCCAGACAGATGATCAAGATCCTCAAGCCTGAAATGATGAAACACGAAATAACAAATCAAAAATCCTTCATTTGAAATGTGTTTTTATAGGAAAAGTTCAGGTTTCATGCAATTAGGAATGGTTGGAGAATATTGTGACGTGCAGAGGAAAACTTACCGCATTGTTGTTCCTTGATATGAAAATCCCTCTCTTTTTAAGTAGTCAATGACGTCCTCAAGAGTTGTTTTCAGCGTGTTCACTCGCACATAACGAGGAATTATATTACCTAAAGAGACAGAACATGCAAATGAACATTAATGGTGTCTCCAAAATCTAGAATTAGCTTTGTCAAGGGGATGTTAATATAATTTTAGGTATTTAGTTTTAAAAGTACCTTGAGCCTGCTGGACACCGGAGGGAAGCAGGTCCTGATTTCGACTCACTTTCTTTTTTATTTTGATTCTTGCCAGGGCAGATTGTAATCTGGAGCGATGCTTCAACATCATGGACTTCCAGGCGCCTCCACATTTCACCCCACGACCGATGAGCAGGTCATACACCAGCACCTGTTGTACACACAATGACACATCTGTGATGGACTGATCAACACAGGCATGTGCTTCACAAGTGACGACGATTAAAAGTAGAGTTGTTCACTTTGGCCAAATGGATCCGGAGTTTTGTTTCTTTCAGAAGCTTGGTGCTGTTGATGATCTCCTGCAGAACTGATGAGTATTTCTGTGTTTCACACACAAGTGCAAAGAGTTGCTTGATATTCTGATGAGAAGACAAAAAAAGTTTAGTTTTTTTTTTAATGGGAATCCATCATAATAACTGTTATTATAATTGTAAAAACATTTTAGTCCGCATAAAAAGTAAACCGACATAACCGTGTCATGTTTAGTAAAAAACAAAACAAGACGTTGTCTTGACTCGTGACGTCATTTTAAATCGACTATTTTGCTTTATCAAACCCTGGAATTGATTTTGTATGTTCTTAGAAATACACTAAAAAATAAAAGCTTTATCAAACCTAAGTATACTTGATTACCAAAGAGACAACAGTGTAAGTAAAACGCACGTTTGAGATAAAATGCGAGACATATGTGAAGAAAACAAGTTACCGTGCCCATAGCCTACTTGAGACCCCCAATTATGCCTTATAGTGACATAATAATAGATTCCCGAGAGACAAATATATCAACACTTACTTGAAATTTACTGTCATAAACCAAAGTTTTCACAGCACCCTTTTTCTGCTCCACTTTCTCAAGAATCTCTGCCGCTTTCATATAAAGTGCCATGATTAAAATAACACGAGCGCTTTATACAGTTAACCGAACAGACGTAACGTAATACATTAACATATAACTAAATCTAGTTTCTTTATCCAGTTAATTTCTCTTGCTGTAATGGAGAAAATACACTCCCCACGTTTTCATATTTGCCTGGTTAGATTTCGCAGCGTTTTACGGCAGTACGGAACGTCTTACGATAACTGTAGTACTGATGAATGCCCACTAGGGTGCGCCAAAGACAATTGAACAACTACTCGTAGTTGTTCCCAAACTTCAAGAATTTATCTAATGTATTTATGTGAATAATAAATGTGCGTTGAGGTGAGTCTTCAATGTGAACCATAAAGGTTTTCCTATTACATTTATTGAGATATTAACATCTTCACCCACTGCTCTCTCTCATACACATCTGAATTGCTAATTTCTAAACTATCACACCCAAACATTGCGTTTATGCATGAAACCCATTGAGCATCCTGTGAACTATTGTCCTCACATGTGAATAATCCTTTCTTTGAATCCACTTTAATTCCTCTTGAAGACAATAAAACAGCAATGGACATCTCTAGTGAGTTTCACCTGAATGCAAATGTGATTTAACAAAGTAAAGCCTTCTTATGAAATAGGCTTTAATGGCCCATATAGTATGATAGTGAGAATATGGAGTTTATACTCCAGGAGGAAAAATATCACCTCAGCCAGACAACAGAAGACATATAGAAGATTGTGTACAACAGATTTTTCAGCTAAGTTTTGATTATGGCCTTAGAAACGTGTGTATCAAATATGTCACTGTAGGCGACTTTGTATGGTTAAAAAGGCAAACATTCCTATGGGTTAAAAATCAACGAAATACCACCTACACCAGAGGGAAAGATTGGTCATTTATTTAAGACCTTATTAATAATCCATTGAACGGATCTTAAAAATATTCAACATGACTCACTGTTATGTGCATGAGAACATTGTGGTGCAAGGTCTGGTGGATGTAAACTTAATCAGGTCAATGTAAAATGAGTTACCCTGAAGTCACAACTAAACTGTTATTTAGATTAACTTCAATTGAGTTCACGCATACTTGAACCTCTGGCTAATATAAACGCTTCTATGACTGGGTTCAATGATTTTTAACATTCCACATGGCTCGTCTTAGCCGTATCGCATAACCAGGACACTTGTTGAGACAATCTTCACATTCTTGTGATATCAGGTTATAAAGGTGTTGGGTGATATAACCAGCATTCCTTGAGCTTGGATAACTGTGTCAAATAACCTTTCTGAGCAGAAATCTGAGATGTTTGTAACTTCTGGTGCTGTATTAGATGTAGTGAAGTTGAAAAGGTGCTTTATGGGCGTCACTAATGTCCTTGAGCATATAAATATGTGTCATAGGACTAGATTGGGCAATTGACTCTGCCACTCTGTGTGTTCCTGGCTTGGGAAATGATGTCATCATTAGGCTCCTCCCCCTCTTACCTGAGCACAGGGGTAGGGCCAGACAGAAGCCGTCTGTACAGACAGGAAAAAAACAAGGAACAGTTCACAACCTGTTTGTCTTTGACAAACGTTTTTTTATATGAAAAAGAGAATCCAGAAAGCACAGGATCTTGTTTAACAGCTTGAAAGATGGACGTCCCAGAGAATTCCCCAGGGATTATGGGACTTCTGAAAACTTTTGACGCTTCAGAGTTTGGGAGTTGGGAAAAGATTGGCTCCGGCGGCTTCGGACAGGTGTACAAAGTACGACATATTCAGTGGAAAACACTGCTGGCGATCAAGTGCCCTCCCAGTCTTCATTCAGATGACAAGTGAGTTCATTTTTATCGTCACTTTCAGCTCACTGAGGCGTCTTTAGAAGAGTCTAAAGCGCGCGCGCGCGTGCGTGTGTGTGCGTGTGTTGGTGGTGAAACACAGTCATGTGAAAGGCAAGTGAAGTTTGTTTTTGTGATGTGAAATGCATAATTTGAGAATGCCATTCTGGAAATATGCTTTCATGTCAGTTTGTATTGATACTAATTGCTATTTTTTTTTGTTTGTTTATTATTTATTTTGAATTAGAAATGCAATACAGAATTCCGTAACTTTTTTTGTCCAATGTGAATTAGTGAGCATTAATATTCATTACTCTACTTCTAGGAAAGTCTCTATTCTGTTCAAATGAACATTTATTGTGCTTACATGCAAAAAGACGCTGTCCCTCAACATGTTGTCAGGAAACCTCCTCTAATATACTGCCTTGAGCTGTGATTATGCCCCCAGTCTTACCAAATATGCGCAATATGGATATCTCTTAACCTTCAATCGAGTCATGGGGTCTATACGACCCCAATCGACTTATACTTAATAAAAAGGTTCCCTTCATCTCATTAGAATAAGATTTTGTGACTTTTCATACGTTATCTATCTATACACACAGACACATACACACACACACACACACACACAAAAACTGGGCTTGATTCGATTGTTCTGAAGGTATGTAAAAAAATGTTTACACTTCTGGTCTTCGGGTTCAATATGACCCCACATTGAAATAAATAGGAAATGTGTGAAAAAAACAACTAAATATTTTATTCATGTGTCAAAAAAAAAAAAAAAATCTGGCATAAATCAGAAATTTTTTACACAGAAATAAAGGCCTAGTACTAGAGCATAAATGCAATGTATTATAAAAAAAAAAAAAAATTCATATGCAAGCTAATGGTGTAGTTGAGGAATTGTGTGGTATATGGATACAAAAGTACTTTATATCTCCAAAAACACAGCACTAATGAATAGATGAGAAGTAAACAAAACAAAAAATATATTATTTGTATGATTAAAAATTAATATATTTTGTACAATAACTCAATCAATTGTTGGGATCGCCCAGAAGTGTAAACAGGAAACAAAGACCACTTGAAGGTTAGACTCTGTGGCTGTCTAAAGACTTCCATTTACATTACATCCATCTTCCACTTTAACTCTGTCCTGACATGACAAGGAGTGGCTGTGTGTGTGTGTGTGTGTGAGCTCTGTTTCCCAGTAACTTCCATAGATCATCTTACCCAGAGCTTTGGTATGCACACAGATGTTGCAGTCACACGCATAACATTTGACTTATCAAGTCAATTATGGTATACGATATTTACTTATTTTTTAAAATTATTATTATCAATGCTGAATTATCACAGTGGTGCTACTTAATTTTTTGTGTAAACTAACTGTGGTAATTTTGTATTTGTATATACGTGTGTGTGAAAACAATTAAATATTCACAAACATTGGGCCTGCACACTTATTGACTTTGATTTAATAAAATTCACCCTAATATTCACCCTAACAACAACATAAGAAACCTGTCAGTCTTCTTCATTGAACTTTATATTTAAAGTTTTTTAATTAATTTGAAATGACTTATGATGTTTATGCAAGTCAATGCTGAATCTTGAGCCACTATTGCAATATTAAAGAGTAAAATAAAAATGAAGTCATCCTTTACTCACCGTGGTGTTGTTCCAATGCCATATGTCCTTCTTTCGTTTTCAGGAAGGGTGAATTTTTTTTAATGTCGTGCACGCGCTCCTCCATATAATGGCAGTGAATGGCGACTAGGCTGAGACTTTACAACAGTATCACACAATGATACAATGAGACATGTGCCATATATAGAAAATATTGCGGATGCATACTAAAAGGTTTTGCGAGAAATAAACCATGTCATTCAGTCAAAACACTGAGCTCGGTCGTTACTCTGCTTGTTCCTGAGAGTGTGTGTGAGCCTCTCTGAAACTGCATTAAAACACCAATATTTACATTTAAAGTTGTGATAATTATTCTAGCTTGGACTTTTTGAATTGCACTTCTGCGGGACCTTTGATACACAATTTCATATGATGTGAGCATAAATGTTTCAATAGCCTTGGATGAGCATGAAAAGAGGAGCATGTATTGGGTTCAGGCTATTTGTAATGTTATGCAACTGCTCTATAACTTTATGTAGACTAGGCCCTGATTGTACTTTGTTTATCAGATCAGAGGCACTATTGATATGTAGCACGATGATGTGTGACGACGGGAAACATCAACGGGTCCTTCATGTTAAAAGATTCCTTCAGGTTATGAGGGTCACATCAATTGCGACGTCTTCTTGCAAAACTTGCTTTCGATCTCTTCATGTGGATGTCACTTTGCATCACCAAGCTTGAGGAGGAAAACAACAAAAGCATCTGATTGAAATCTAATGAATGCTGTTCCACGTGACCCTGAACACAGAGGTTTATCAGTACCTGAGATCTGAAGGTAGAAGACTCTTAATTTGCCTCCCCCATCTAAATAGGGCACAGACTTAAAGCAGGCTTTGTCCTCCTGTGCTCCGTCAGGCCTCTTGCAGAACTGGTAGAACTGGATCCGGGCTTTTTTTTTTTTTTTTTAAAGAAAAGAACGGCTTTTGTTGAGCTGAAAAGGGTGGCAGAACAGTGTGTGGCATTAGCATGGGCAGTTTTAAACGTTTACCTCCACACTCCCTGTAATCTTCTCACTCCTTACCTCCCATTTGTCCAATCGCACCATTGTTTTCTACCAGACTTTAAGAGTTATGCTTTCCCTCGGCATTCTTAAAGCTAGTTTTACATCAACACTAACCCTCGGCTTGAGCCTAGTCTCAGACTAAAATGCATGTTTGAGCTGAAAATTATATCTTAAAATAAGTTTTGTCTCAATATTCACACCAGTAAGATTTTTGTTTTTCTAATGCATGCTAATTGAAATAAGGCTTAATCTTAACCCTGTCTGTGAAACCAGGCCTAAAAGTATTAGAAAAAGTACTACGTATAATTATTTTGTATTTATAAATGCACACACATGCATGTATATATTTAGGAAAACGTGTTCTATATGTATAATTTATATATAAAATATTAATATTTATGAATAGTATAAATATACATACAATATATACATGCATGTGTGTATAATAATTAAATGCATTACACACACACATGTAAATATATGTACACACAAACTTTTATTTTGGATGCGATTAATCTTAAAAAAAGTGTTTTTCTTTTAAATAATTTAAATTGTATTTATTGTTTTGTAATATTTGTTTAGTGTTCTGCTTTCCCTCGTCATTCTTATAGTTAGTTTTATATCCGCACTAAGTGTATCAAAAATAAATTATTTATTTTTCAATATGTATTTATTTGTTTGTTGTTATCTTATGATATCTCTTGGCTTCTCAGCTAGCTTTCTTGAAGTAGAAAATATCAAAAATAAATGTGTTAAAAAAATTTTTTTTTAAATAAATGTATTTATTTATTCATTAGGAGTTATGCTTTCCCTCCCTTAGTCCCTTTCCTAAACTCTTTTATTAAATTTTATGATTTATCTATTTAGCTAAAGTTGTCGGAGAGAACTATGTGACCACTTTGGCTTAAGCGTTGACGTCATATGAGTAATAAAAGAATCAGCAAACTAATAAAGTGATAAGCAAAATGCTAATTTTGTTTAATATCCGTGCTTGATTGGTTGAGAGACGTGTTGCTGCTGTGTGCAAAGCAAACAGATAAACAGTAAACTTTGAGATGTCCTTTGTGAGTCCAGTTATAAAATGAAGACCTTTCTGTCTGATTTGTCACTAATAAAAGCAGTTTTGTAAGAACAAAGTACAAGAGAGCCATTCAAACAATCAACGTTAAAGACTGGGATCATGTCAGATAAATATAGCCTACTGTAAACAGCACTGTGGAGAAACGGTAAAGCTGTTTCATAATGGAAATTTAGCCAATTGCTAAAAAAACATGGTGTCATTGTTCATAATATGCTTCCGGATAATATGAGTGAGTCAGCTTTGCCATTGTGCTCAGGTCCAACAGGTTTTAGTACCTTTCCTTGTTGTTGTTTTTAAAAGTGCCTCGCTGTGATTTCTTTTTTTGTGATTTCTATCTAATTGGGTGTGTTGCCAGTTATCCAGCTTAAATCCAGCTTTATCCCTCCCAGGTGAAGACATTCCTTGCAAAATAAATGCTATTTGTAACTCATTGTTTTTCTGTTGTTGTTTAGGGAGCGTGCCGAACTCTTGGAGGAGGCCAAGAAGATGGAGGCGGCCAAGTTCCGCTACATCCTCCCCGTGTACGGCATTTGCAGCGACCCGCAGGGATTGGTGATGGAGTACATGGAGACGGGCTCTCTGGAGACTCTTCTGGCCTCAGAGTCACTGCCCTGGGAGCTGCGTTTCCGTATCATCCATGAGACCGCGGTGGGGATGAACTTCCTGCATTGCATGAACCCGCCCCTACTTCATCTGGACCTTAAACCCGCTAACATCCTGCTGGACGCTCACTACCACATTAAGGTGAGACCGAGCGAGCCACGTCTGGTCATGACCTTGCTAATGAAGTGCTCATGTTTTAGACCTTTCAGAGATTTGCAGTTGATTCATTGCATCAAAGCTTAGGTGTGCGTGATTCATCGCTACCCAAGTACATTGCACTTCTTTTGGAAAACACCTACAGGTTATATAGAGATTAATCTGTCTATCATTCAATCAAAATCATCTCTCTCGTATTGACCCAAACCTGTATGACTTTCTTTCTTCTGTGGAAACGCAAAAGAAGATATTTTAAAAATCTCTGTCTGTCTCCTTATATTGAAAGTAATCATCTTCACATCTCCAATGTTGTTATGGACCCCATTAACTTCTATTTTATGGACAAAAACTGTTGTGGTCTTTTTTGTGTTCCTAAAAATTTTTTTAGGCGAACCATATTGGCCTAAAAGTACCCCCTTGATATGTTAAGTGAATCATTTTTCAATAATTTAGCAACCCATTGTTCACGGTTTTCTGGCGTTTTAATAGAATAGTCACATGACATGCTGGTAAACATTGTTTATTGTGATTATTTATTTATTTTTTTCATGAAATTTATCAATTCATGAACCCCATTTTGGGAAACCCTGTTTAAGGGGTTATAGATTATTTTAAAGTAAAGATCATGATGTTTGGATCAAAAGTGCAATAACACAACCTCTAATCCTGAGTTAAAGGAGTAGTTCACTTTAAAAAAACTTTTGCTGATAATTTACTCATCCCCATGTCATCCAAGATGCTCATGTCTTTCTTTCTTCAGTCGAAACATTCCAGGATTTTCCTCCATATAATGGACTTCAATGGGAACCAAACGGTTCAAGGTCTAAATGAGAGTTTCAGTGCAGCTTCAAAGGGCTTTAAACGATTCCAGATGATGAATAAGGGTCTTATCTAGTGAAATGATCACTCATTTCAAAAATAAATAAAAAACGTTAAGTTTTATAAGCACAAATGCTCGCCTTGCTCTGTTCTGTGTGACTCTCCTGTTCATCAAAACGAACGAGTCTTTTTTGAGTCATTTGGTTCGTTGAATGAACCAAATGACTCGAAAAAAGATTCGTTCATTTTGATGTTTCATTTCGGATCTTGAGCCGTTTGGTTCCCATTGAAGTCCATTATATGGAGAAAAATGCTGGAATGTTTTCATCAAAAACCTTAATTTCTTTTCGACTGAAGAAAGAAAGACACGGACATCTTAGATGACAAATTATCAGCAAAAGTTTTTTTTCAAGTGAACTACTCCTTTAAACATCTAGATTATGTGCTTCAGGTTCATGAAAACACCCGTCAACATGATGATTTGTAATCTTAATCCGCCGCTGACGACCGAACAACAATTTTAATCTCAGTCGTGTCACATGATCATCTGTACAGGAAGGTTCATAAGCGATGAGGGGGGGATGGTACACCTATCATTTTCTTTTCACGGTCCCTGCATACCTTTCCAGAAAATTCCCTGAGGGTTGAAAAGCTTTCCCATGCTTTATCCCATTTATATCCAACCTTCTCATGGATGAGTAAGCAGGTGTCACGAGGGATGGGTGGGAATCGTTGTCGGATTGAAAAGGCTGGATGTAAACATGTATCCTGGACCAGTCTGAACAAGCTAAAGCTAGGCAGTGTTAATGAAGGGTTGGCACACACACGCCTACATATGCGTGCACACATTTACAGAGAAATCATGGCTTCCCCACCTAATAGTAGGCGACTCTAAATATGATTTTTTGGAAAAAAAGCACAATAAAAAAACTAAAGACCTAATCATTTCCCTTTTCTTTCTGGTCTTCATTTTAGATTTCTGACTTCGGCCTAGCAAGGTGGAATGGCTTTTCCAGGAACGACGACATTAGCCGTGATGGGTTTTGTGGCACCATCGCTTACCTCCCTCCAGAGAGGATTATAGAAAAAGACAGAATCTCTGACGTTAAACACGACGTGTACAGGTCAGCCAACTATGTGGATATATTATATCTCAAATATGAGACTAGCTTCTGTCTTTCAAAACCATCCTTTCCTGCTTATGTCAATGTTGACTAACACACGTGTTGTTTCACAGTTTTTCGATTGTTATCTGGGGAATTCTCACACAGAAGAAGCCATATCAAGGTAAGACGAGAAGTAAAATCGGTCGTGTCTGGAAACCCTTATTATTACTCCTCTGTGTTATGTGAGGATTTTTTGTATTCATTTCAATCTATCTGGCACTCTGAGGGTTGTGATTTCCAGGTATAAGGGACGGAAAATATATGACTGCTTTTTTTAGTAACTAGCAGTTACAAGAATTCAGTATGAAAAAATGAAACTGAAAAAAAGAGGCATAACTGTTGTGTTTGGCACCGGTGAATGAAAGCTATTGGCTGCCAGACAATCCTTCCAAAAGAAACCTATACAATATCCTGATGTACTGTACAATGAAGATTGAAATATGAGGATGTGAAATCAGCGGCCTCCGGTTGCTTTTTGACAAGTGTTTTTATTCTCTTTTTTTGGTGTAATGAACAAAATATCTTCAGGATGTTGTTGATCCCCGTTTTTGTTAGAATAAATATTATTTAAATTTTAGTACTTAAACATCAGTGTAGAATTTGTTGTTTTGACTTTAATTTATGATGATTTAATAAAAACAAGAAACCAACAATAACATACAATATTAATGGAAGGGAATCAGCATTGAGAATCAGCATTATGAGTAAAACAAAAGTAAACTATTGCAGATCTGTAGCAGAAATGAGAATTGAGTTTTATTTTTTTAGTGATGCAAAATATATTTTATTTTCCTGTTGATCTTTGGGGTGAAATTAATTTGTGTAATTTACTCGATTAAATTAAAGGGATAGTTCACTTTGAAATTAATTTTTGGTATGTTTTAGCTTACCTCAAGAGCATCCAAGATGTAGGTGTCTTTGTTTCCACAGTGTATTTTCAATTTTGATCATTTTAGGTCAAACCGTTCGTGTCTGTCAGTCATATAATGGAGGTCTATGGTCACCACCTCAAAGAGCATGCACAGAGAAGTCCAAATTAAACATGATTTAATGACTCATTGATGGCCTAAGACACAAACGAGTGGTTTGTGTGAGAAAACGAACAGTATTAAAAAATATCGTTTTTATTTCTTGTAACCACAGCCACAAAGCGCCCGCGCCCTCAGATCACTTGGACGTGGCTGTGGTTACAAGAGGTAAAAACTATATAAAAACTGCTCATTTCGTGTCTTAGGCCATCAATGTGTACTTATATTTACGTGTCATTAAATCATGTTTAATTTGGACTTCTCTGTGCATGGTCTTTGAGGTGGTGACCATAGACCTGCATTGTATGACTGACTGACAAAAACGGTATTGCAATTAAGCTACATTAGCTATATCACTGCATTCTGTTGTGTGGCAAATATACTGATGTTATTATTTGCTCTGTCTGTTTCATAGGAGACAATAACATCCTGCACATAATGGTGAAGGTGGTGAAGGGTGTTCGTCCAGACCTAAGCGTTATTCCCCGCAGTCGTCCCCAGGCCTGCTCAGGGTTCCTGGCCCTTATGCAGAAGTGCTGGGCACATTCTCCTGAAGCCAGACCCAGTTTTCAAGGTGAGTGTGTCTCGTTTCCATCATACCAGTGACGAAAATGCTGAATCACAGGAACTAGAGTTGCATTGCAACAGTGACATGACAGAATATCGCAGACAACAAGATAATGTTGTCATTCATGTTCAACTTTTAAAACATGAGTATGTTTTGTTATTTCAGGAAGCATTTTCTATTAAAGGAGTAGTTTAAAACTTTTGCTGATAATTTACTCGCCCCCATGTCATCTAAGATGTCCATGTCTTTCTTTCTTCAGTTGAAAAGAAATGAAGTTTTTTGATGAAAACATTCCAGGATTTTTCTCCATATAATGGACTTCACTGGGAACCAAACAGTTCAAGGTCCAAAAAGACAGTTTCAGTGCAAACTGCAAACTGTTAAAAGGGCTTTAAACGATTCCAGATGATGAAGAAGGGTCTTATCAAGCGAAACGATCGCTCATTTAATAAAACAAAAAACAAATTTTACGTTTTATAAGCTCAATTGGTCGCCTTGCTCTGTTCTGTGATGTGCGTTCGTTCATTTTGAGTCGTTTATCAAAATGAACAAATCTTTTTTCGTGTCATTTGGTTCATTCAACGAAAGAAATAAACGAATTGACTCGGAAAAAGATTTGTTAATTTTGATGAACGAGTTCGAACAGGAGAGTCACGAACGCGCATCACAGAACAGAGCAAGGCGACAATTTGTTCTTATAAAACTTAAACTTTTATTTATTTTTGAAATGGCCGATCGTTTCGCTTGATAAGACCCTTATTCATCGTCTGGAATCGTTTAAAGCCCTTTGAACAGTTTGCACTGAAACTCTCTTTTGGACCTTGAACCGTTTGGTCCCCATTGAAGTCCATTATATGGAGAAAAATCCTGGAATGTTTTCATCAAAAACCTTAATTTCTTTTCGACTGAAGAAAGAAAGACATGGACATCTTGGATGACATGGGGGTGAGTAAATTATCAGCGCCTGTCCCCGAACGTTGACTGTGTGTCCGAGTGAGTGGAGGGGGTGTGGCTTAGCCATAGGTCAATTGGCGGTGATCGTATGAATATGTATGCATATTTATATGTTAATGCATATGTGTCTAACGTGGTTGACTTCCTCCTCCAGAGATCACTTCAGAAGCTGAGGATCTGTGCACCAAACCTCATGATGAGTCCAGAGCTTCCATTTCTTCAGAACCAGAATGTTCGCCCTGCCCTGCCCCAGCCTCCAGCGAACAGGTAATATCAGATCATTCGCTATGCATGATTATTACAAATCTTCTTCCGCTGTCATACCGTGTGTGACGTAAAGCAGTGTTTCCATCAAGTTATGTTCATGTGACTCATTAAGACTGACCTCCGCAATGTAGTTTAGACTTCCTGCCCATCAGTAATTAAGCAACTCTTTGGTATTCGTTTGTTTTAGTCTAGGTACATAGTGCAAATGTTTCACTAAGATGTCAGTCTTTCATCAGTGACAGAGAATGCCACCGAACTGCATTGCTTCAACAGAACCCTTCTGTCATTTCGTGGGCGAGCGAGCGTATAAAACTGTTTATTTTAGGAAGAATATGCCGTCCTTCCTTTGTCTAAATGCTCCGTCTTTTGAAGGAAATGTTTACAATACATCTGCAGTCAGTGACTTATCCATGTATGATCCAAGTGGCTAATCTTTCCTCTTACAAACAATCGGTTACTTTTCTTCACACACAGGCTAGCAACCAAAAGCCAGTGAGGCCAAAGTCAGCCATGTTACCTGAGAAGGACTGCAGCCTCTCCGAGTTGCTGTCTCAGATCGACTCCGGCTTCTCGCGCAGTTTTAGCGACGTCAAAGAGGAGTCCCTTGAGAGCAAAGACAACACCAGCAAGAGACTGTCGGGCATCTCCTCTGTGGACTCGGCTTTCTCATCCCAAGGCTCGATTACATTGTCCTTTGAGAAGGAAAATGCTGTGAATGGTAAGAACAAAGCAGCTTACCACTCGTACAACCTTTTTATTTTATTTTAGAACTTAAAATTCAATTTGTTTTATTTAGCTTGTTCCTTCTGTTTTGAATTATTTAGGGTTTTTTGTTCGTTTCATTTTTTTTGCATTTTTGCAAAGAACAAAAAATATTTGAAGAGATTTAGATAAAAATAGATTTCTGACAGCAGGCTTAAAGGCTCTAAAAACTGTTTAGCGTATAACGCTAGTAATGGGGGCATTGACTAAGTAAAAAGAAATCGCTAGTTTATACCACTAACAAGGCTCAAAATAGCCCGCAGTAACATAATGAGGGTCCGTACATATGCAAAACGAAGCATTGTGTATACGGACAGGAGCCATCTTTGGAAAACAGACTCGATAAGTCAAACCACGAACGCCGTTCATACAGTTCATCTCACTTGGCATGTCGTTCGTGGTTCGACTGGTTGTGACTGTTTTCCCAAGATGGTTCCTGTCTGTATACACGAAGTGAACTGACTTTATAAAGTATCTTCTTATTAAACGGTCTGTACACTTACAAAGTTTTCAATGCTTCGTTTTGCATGTACGGACCCTCATTATGTTACTGTGTTAGTGTGGGGCTATTTTGAGCCTTGTTAGTGGTATAAACTAGCGATTTCTTTTTACTTATTATATGCCCCCATATACTAGCATTACACGTTAAACAGTTTTTACATTCGATTGTCATGAAAACAAATCTCAGAGAACGGTCGACTAGGTACCAATGTGTTATAAGACCAAAGGTTCATTTTGTGCCGGAGTTCTATGAGGTAAATGTCTTAAACCCTCAAAAAAAAAACATATTTTTTCACTCATTATTTATGTTATGTTCTACTTTAGAATCCAGTGAGATACAGAAGAAGAAGCTTTGTGAAGCCATTCGCACCGAGGACATCGCTAAGCTGATGAAGATCCTCCAGCCACAAGATGTTGACTTGCTCTTGGAGGGTGGCAGCAACCTGCTCCACTTCGCCGTGATTCTGGCCAATGAGGAAGCAGTTAAGTTTCTGCTGCTTAGCAACTGCAACCCTAACTTGCCCAATACTCAAGGATCCACACCCCTCCACCTGGCAGCCGAGAAGCGGCTGAAGGGAGTGTCCGAGATTCTCCTGAGCCGCAAGACGACGAATGTCAACGCCAAGGACGAGGACCAGTACACACCGCTGCACTTCGCAGCCCAGAACGGCGACGAGGCCCTGACACGTCTACTCCTAGACCGCTCCGCTTCCATCAACGAAATAGACTCTCAGGGACGCACGCCGACGCATATTGCCTGCCACCACGGACAAGAGAACGTGGTGAGGGTCTTGCTCAGTCGTGGTGCTGATGTCCACGTCAAAGGCAAAGACGACTGGACGGCACTACACCTGGCTGCCTGGAAAGGCCATTTGGGAATTGTGAAGCTCCTGGTGAAGCAGGCAGGTGCCGACGTTGACGGTCAGACGTCGGACGGGCGCACGCCGCTCCATCTGGCGTCTCAGCGAGGCCAGTACCGTGTGGCACGGATCCTGGTGGAGCTCGGCGCTAACGTCCACCTGACTTCTGACGGCCTCCACAGTCCTCTTCACGTGGCCGCGGAAACGGGCCACACCAGCACTTCGAGACTGCTTGTGAAACACGGCGCGGATATTAACGGCCGGACGGCCGTCGGCTGCACCGCCTTGCACCTGGCATCCCAGAGAGGCCACCTCCCGACGGTTAAAATGCTTCTGGCGGAGGGTGCCGAGCCCAAGAGCGCCGACCACGGCCTTCGCACGGCGTGTCACCTGGCCGCCGAGAACGGCCACTGCGAGGTCCTCCGAGAGCTTCTGCAGAGATTCCCCGACGTCGCTAATGCTCAAGACAGAACTGGATTCACTCCACTTCACCTGGCTGTACGCGGCGGCCACAAAGATGCCATCTGCGTTCTCCTGGAACGCGGTGCCGACGCTGCACCGCTGTCTCCACAGTTTGCCAGAGAGCGCTCGTTTGACTACACGTCGGAATCGGAGCCAGAGAGTCCGAATCCTCTCACCCCGACGACGAAACTGGAGAGGAAAGTGGTCATTCTGAAACTCACCAACCACAAAAACGTTGACGGCACACTGATACCCGTAGACTCGTTGTGTGAATCGGCACCTTGTTGAGGGTCCTTCTCATGGACACCAGGAAATTTTGCCAAGACACTTTCTCCTCCTACTTTATAAAGACTGATAGATGCTCTAAAATAGGAACCTCTTGTTATCCATTCGGATTTAATGTACATTTTGTAATATTTTCTCCAGGGTTTGGTCTCTTGTTGACTTTCCTCCTAATAATAGTGTTGTCTTGCGACAACACTAGAAATGCATTCTTGTATATATCGCTACTGTAAATAGAGCTTCGATATTGTACTTTCCATGCCATTGTTTATCTATTCCTGTGTTTGTTGTATGTCTTTAATTTCACCATTTTCTTCTTGTCACCAGTGTACTGTGGTGATGGATGCAATGCAAGTAATGCTTTCTCCAACCCTCAAAATTGTATGAGTGAAATTAATTTTGTAGCATATTTCAATAAGCTCATCATATATCAACTTAATATTGCACTTAAGTTCAAATGTTGTCTAGAATTTAAAGAGAAATGGCAATGTTGTGAGGCCAATTATATAATTAAAATGGTTGACTCAAATAGAGCATGGACCCATTTGGCTCGTACCATGGGAACGGGCCCTCGGGGGGATCACAGGTGTGGGTAGACCGTACGGGGGAGGAAGACTCTATAACCATGTACCCTCATGTTCAGGGCACTGGCTCATTCCTGAGACCACTTTATCTTTTCATCACTCTGTAAAACCACTGCGCCGAGCCCTGCGTTTTGCTAAGGGGGGTGTAGCCATCATTACCTTTCACTGTCTGGAACAGAAAGCCTGTTAATTGCTAGGTCTTTAAACTGCTGTTGAACTCTGCGTTTCTGTGGTTGTTGTTGTTATCCATGCATTTGCATCTGTGTAAAAAAATCTTCCGTAGCGCACTCAGTAATCCGATGTCAACACCTTGACTTCTGTAATTAGCCTAGTTTATGAAGCTGCCTTCCCATTTCCCCTTTGTACACAAAAAAGGTATTTCTCAGTTATCCGTAGTGTTTGCACACTTTTATATTTGCACACTTTTATATTTGATGAAAAATTAAAGTGCATCACATATGTACATACGTATGTAAAGTATCTGTTGTCTGTTGTTGCATTTCAACCCTAGTCAGACTTTTACTACTGTTTGACGTTTACTCCAGTCAATATTTGGGTAAAATAAAAAATAAAAACTTGAGCAATAGGGGATTATCACGCTTCCGGGTTTCATGGGCGGGACTTGTCAACTTTGTGCATGTCCGTTTCCGACGCAGTTCAACAATATGGCTGAGACGAAGGCTATGTCACTGCACTCTGTTCCCATTTTTAAATCTAACGAACAACGCCAACCCTACGTAAGTTTTCATGGATTCCCGACTGAATTGGGTATAAGGAAGAACTGGATTAACCCCTATATCCCCTATAGGAACCGCATAGCAACACCCCAGAAACCCCTAGAAACCCTGGCAACCACACAGAGCACATTAGGAACAACATAGCAACACCCTGGTAAGTAACCACCAAGACCAGAAACAGCATAGTAGGCTAATAGTGTAACAGTTGGGTTACGGGGGTAAAAACTCTCTAACCAATATAAATCTTTAAAGACAGGCCCAGTATAGGTTCCAAGGTTGTTAATCAATGGTATTTGTTTCACCTAAAGACGTTAGTCTGCCTTTTTTTTCAGCTTAATTTTATTATAATCAAACTTAACAGGGTAATTTGTGGTGAAAAACTGCATTATCAATGAACAGAAAATTTTAGTTTTTTGTTGTTTTCATTTAACGAAAGTCAGCCATCAACTGTTTGGTTACCCATATTCAGACAAAGGCTTGATGTTAGCCTTTTAGAAGACCAACCCCAACGTTGCAAATGAAAATCTCAAGAGAATTCGTACGAATTTTACGAGATGGCTAATTCGTAACAATTCATACGACCTAGTACGAATCAGTACGACTTTTGCTAATTCGTACGAATGACCTACCCCAGACCCCGCCCCGACAAATCGTACGAATTCGTACGAGTGAGGTCGTATGAATTAGTACGAATTAGTAACTTTTTAATCACTTCGTACGAATTGGTCGTGATATGGTTGGGTTGAAGTCAGAATCCAATGTCAGATTGACGCTAATCTCCAACGTTGGACAGATGTTTTGTGGTTGAAAATGAAAATCGGGTTTATATCAGAAACCAAGATCAGTTTCAACAAAGATCCCTATAAAATTCCTGTGGGGAATTTTTTAACAAATTCTGTCTGGATACCTCTAAATTTATTTATGAGCAGCATCTTTTTGTTTTGTTTTGAGCCAAACCATAAATGTTTTAACATATTGTTTTATTGTCACAGAGGTTTTATTGCCAAAAAAAGCACGGTGTGTGGAGTGATTGTGGCATTTATTTGAATGCAGGCCCATGACGATTGTATCTAATGCCTGAAATGACATAATATAGTAACTGGAATAGAAAATGCTTTCAAAGTTAAAACAATACCTTACTGTTCATATGTGACACACACCTCCACCACCTCATTATCTTAAAAAGACACTGGCGGGCCATGCACGATATGAATCCTCTTCCACTTCTACTAAACTGGTGGGACTCGTCTGGCAGGTTGTGTGATGGTGTTTTAAAGCCAGCGACAGGCTCAAACGTGCACACACGTGGACACGCACAAACATCACTCAGTAGATAGGAGAACAAGGGCTTGCAGAAAGCAGATGAATTCACTGATTTATGAGCGGGTGTCAGACATGTTCAGCATAAACTCACAGTTGTACTCGGTCGATCTCATGGAAAGTTACTCATTGACTAGTTCTGCAAACAGGAAGGAGCTGAATATAGTTATTGTTCCCCTAATCTACTGTCTGTGGCCCAGTTCTCACTTGTTGCATAAAAATGTGCCTCAAGTCTCAAAGGTTCACCGGATTTAGTGCATGGTATGGTGTCATACTAAGCATTTGGAAAAGATTACAATGGTATAAAACAAGACTTCATTGCTCTGTGAAATTCAACAGAGGGTTATGATGAGAAATCATTTAATACAGCAATGCAAGAGTTTTGTTTTCCATTAAATATACAACAGAAGCAATGAAATCCAATTCAAGGATAAAAAGCAAATAGTTAAAACAAGCTTCTGAAATGGGTGATGTCAGGGTGAGTAATGCACTGTGACGCCTTGAACATACAGGTGTTTCCTTGAAGACATCTTGCTGTGAAATGAGATGTGCAAGATCTGACATGAACTGCATTCTTCTTCTTTGAATACACAAGTGAATCAGACAGAATGAAACGAATCTCTCCAACTCCAATGCCCCACCTTGTGGAAAAATAGAAGTAAATATATGCTACTCAATGCATGCTGTCTTCCTTAGTTTATGCGCATTTTGAAATACATATCTTGATTTATTCTTTGTTAACATAAGGAAGTTGTATTTTGTTGCAATCACTAATTACTATTGCAAGGTGTTTCTGATCCAAAAGTGTGTGTGTGTGTGTGTGTGTGTTGTGCGCGCGGCATTTTTGCACATAAAATATGAACTTTTCCCATAATATTAACTTTTAAACTGTCAATGACACTTGGCATGCTTTTTATAATTTGTCTTATTTATTTATTTATTTTTTACAAATATATATATATATATATATATAATTTTTTTTGTATAAATTTGAGGTGTTAGAACTGGTCAGAAGCTTTTCACCATTAATCTCATTTTTGCTTTATTGCAATTCACTTAAATTGCGCTGTTGTGTAAAAAAACCTAAAATCCAATATAGCTAAAATAAAGTCATAAAAATAGCTTTCATATTAATCATTAAACACGAAGAAAAGGGACTTATACACTGTGTATTTCTGGAGGATATAGGCTACTGTTGCATGCAAGGATGTTACCAAATATGCATGTAAAAAACAAAAACATTATTTGACCACTTAATATGAATGGATGTCTTTAGTGGTTATAGCTGTGGTTGCATGTATGATGTTGCAGTATCTTATCTGGCCAGATGATGGCGCTAATGGTTTGTTTATGGCTGCAGAAGTGAGTATAAATATTATTTTTTAAATTAAGAAAACAGAAATGAGGCTGTACAAACACCTTCAGCAAAAAACTTCACATTTAAAAAAGAATATAACTCTCTATAAAAGAAAATAACAAACGTTCTAAAGCAAATAAATAAATGAATAAAATAAATACAATAATAAATAGATTACATTAAATGGACAACATTGACAAGCAGAGGAAAGCAGATTAAACCTTATCACCAGCATTACCAAAAAATAAATACAAAATCTCACATTGCATCAGAAATGTGTCACTTTTTTAAGCAAATACAATTAAAGGGAAAGAGGTAAATTAGAGGTAAAAACAATATAAATACGGTTCGTTTTCTCACACAAACCGCTCGTTTCGTGTCTTAGGCCATCAATGTGTACTTACATTTACGAGTCATTAAATCATGTTTAATTTGGACTTCTCTGTGCATGCTCTTTGAGGTGGTGACCATAGACCTCCATTATATGACTGACAGACAAGAACGGTTTGACCTAAAAATATAAAAATTGAAACTACTGCGTAAACCTACATCTCGGATGCCCTTGAGGTAAGCTAAAACATACCAAAAATTAAATTCAAAGCGAACTATCCCTTTAAGGAGTGAGTACCTCAATCAAAACTGTGAGAGATTAGAATGTGCTACGGTTGTGTAGCATTTCCCTGCATGTTTATAAATGAAAAGAGTCTCTATATTTTAAATATGCTTCTAATCATTTGCCAGAAAGACTCTATTAAGGACAGTTATGCACATGGACAGAGAATGTGAATGCAAGAGGGGATGGCATGAGCACTCACAGACAATCTGTCTATGAAGATGACACAGATGCTGAGTGCCAAATGAGGGCCCATGGAAACTGGCACATGATGAAAGCAGAAGCCATTTCTTTTTATATCAATGCAGAATAGAGTGACGATAATGGGACTCTCAACAGAATAACTGTCTTGATTATGCATTCACAAAGGCACATGGAGCGTTGGTTTCTAGTGCCATTTCAGTTATGTAAGGATGTAACTTCACAGACTACGGAAGGATGGTGGAGCGGAGAATCGAAAGCAAAGCGAGTTGCTTTGACGTGTTGTGGAAAGAGAAATTCCCTTCTGGAATTCCCCGAGTGCGCATATGCTCGAGGCGATGTGATTGTTCTTCTAGACTGGGAAATAAAATAAAATAAAAAACGTGGCCTTGATTTTATAAGACAAGTGGGCTACAAAGGGCATCAATATAAGTATAAAATGAATGCAATGTCATAACGTTATAGGCCTACTGCTTTATTAAAGTTCTAAAACGATTAATCAACATTGAGAAATTTACGTTTCAGACAAAAAATGGACGGTTTGTATATTTTTGTCCAACAAAAATAGTTTCTAAAAGAAAACTAGAACATAAAGTTTGGCAAACACACACAAACACACTAAAGCCGCTTTGAAACAACGTGGATAGTCATGAGGTTTCCCAACCCAACTCTGCTCTCTCTTCGCATTACTCGCAAACTCAACTGTAATATTTATACAATAATAGCAGCACTATTTGAATGCCATAAATTGTAATATTTAACGGATAGCATATCATTTAAATGATCTGTGCCTTAAGCTATCTTAATTTATATTGAGCAGCAACTGACTCTCAACTAATTCACCAGCGTTTGTATTCGTAAATAATTAACACATACCAAAAGTCGATAATGTACAGCAAAAATACTATAACCCCTCATAAAAGTAGGGTAATGAATCTGAAATGTTATACCCTCACCCACCCTCTGCATGGGTGAACCTAATGACTTGTCTAGTGTTTCCACTCTGCATTAGTAGACGGAGTAGAACCAGAGTAGTAGTGGCAGAGTAGTAGTACTGCCTGTAATGCAGTAACTGTAGTACAGTTATAGTAACTGAACAGTACGTATTGCCAAAGACTACAAAATATCATTGAAAGAAATATCAATGCTAACAGCGTATCAGCGTGCTAAGAGCTAACAAAATAACAGAACCAATCAGAGGCGCGAATGCACAGCACGTGATCGAACATTTGGCTTCCACTAGAGTGGCTTGAGTCGCGTCTGTTCGAGCGTTCTTTCATTGTCGTTGCTTGCTGTACTTGTAGCTGCTCGCCGTTTGCTTCAATAACAACACCCGCCGCTGTAACAGCGTGGTTTACCTTTAAGATCAGCCTGGATTGTCTTGAAATTTCTTCTGACAACGTAACTATTAAGGTAATAAACGCCGATTTGTTCTGTAGGTATCGTCTGTTTTTCGAGAATGTGACGTTTTTAATGAGAAATAGATACGCCGCTAGATAACGGGTCTCGTCTAGTCGAGATGTAACGTTATCTTTCTATTCCAACGCAGAATGTCTGGGAAACTGTATTTAACGTCTATATAGTGTTGTGTTTATAAGGGTTTTTTGTCTACAGGTATATCAAAATGTGTGTGTTTAAGTAGTGGAAGTCCTCAAGCGTTGTTAGTGTTGGGTTAACTTCTGCTCACTTAGAACTAAAATGGTAACGTTAATGATACTCTTTATCGCCATATAAAGTTACCTTTTGTACATTAAACTGGTATGAAATGCATCTGAAATATGTTGATAGCATTTTGTTGATTATGTAAATGTCAATTCTACACATTAAGTTTTGGTTTGATTTGGTCCATACTGGTTTTCATCTAACGTTCTCGTGTGAGGCAAACATTCACAAAACGTTTTAGTCAATTTTGTTCTATTTGAACAAATTACCTGAAGTAAATAATCCCACAACAAGGCTGTGTCCCATAACATAGTATGCTTCAACATTTGTGGCCATTATTGGCACGTGCAGCACTTGGGTTTTGAGACACAACCACAGTGTCTTGTTCTTGGGTTACTTTCATAATCTGATGAAGTTCAACACGAAGTTTCCATTTGACACAGCTTTGAATTGTTCTGTTTCACCAGTCTGTGTTATAAACAAAGACATATTTGATCTAAAGGAAACAATGTTCAAAAAAAGGGGATCTTTAGGGTTATTTTTTAGCTTGTTTGGACCTGTTGAAATTAAACGATACATTTGTTTATATAGGCTTCCCAAAGTAAGGGAAAATCCCAGAGAACTGTAAACCCTTGGGAAAAGTCATGGGAAGTAATCAAATCCTAAAAGTCAAAGAATTGTCTATAGTAAATGTAATTATTAGTTTCTAGTTATGCCATGTTAATCCTCTAAAATATTGTAGACATTGTGATCTTATCATATTTTTTTTTTGGAATCTAGCCCTATATTTTCAATGGAACAAAAAGGATTTTCTTTATCCAAGGATCTTTATCCAATAATCACAGAGGACTGGAAAGGTCATTGGATAAAAAGAGTGGCATATATATATTTTTTGGAATTGTTTACAGTATGATTATGAAATAAAGCAGACAGTGTGTTGACTGTGATGGACAGACAGAGTCATGATTATCTCCAGATTGTAACCAAATTTATCCACTCAACAGGCTTTGACATTCTGGAAGGAGGCTTTATGTAAGGCTTGAGCAAAGGTAATTTAGTTGTGTGTAAACACTGAACACAAGAGTCGTCTGGCTTCACGGGAATCCAAGTGGCCCCCATCAAAGAGACCGTTGTAAAACGGTCCATAATAAATTACAGAAGCACAGCGACTTCAAACATCTGCTGTGTTCTGAATGTTTTGCTTATCTGTCTTGTTAATATGATTGCGTCTCTGTGTGTGTTTCTTTTACCTTATCTTCTTGATATTGCATTATGTTTATTGGTCTCTTCATTCTCGCTCATCTTTTGGCCTGTTATAAATTTTACGGTTAAGGGACCTGGGTAGTAGCGATTGTCCACAGCATATTTTATGCATCAATCTCAAAAGGCACTAAAGTGAGATTAAACTTATTGAATGATTCTGTTTGCTTTGCAGAGGCATCATGGAGGAAGAGGAGCACTTTGTGAACATAGACCTGAACGATGACAACATCTGCAGCATCTGTAAACTAGAAACGGACACAGGAACGCTTTCCTTCTGCCATGTGTGCTTTGAACTGAGCATTGAGGGTAAGAATAGTTTTCGGTAAAAGCATTTTAATGTCCTCGGCTTGCCATTTCTGGGCCAGATTGTGCTAATTATAAATGAGTAAAACTTCTTTCTTCATCCGCCCATGCATATCCCCCCTCATTCATGTATTAGCGAGCCTTTTGTTCCGCAGCTTCGTGTGCTGCTCAAAAAAGTGAACTGGAGTGTTTGAAGTGCCACTTTGGCATCTAATTAACGTTCAGCTTATTAAGGTTTGATTAGTGCTTCCTGAGGGGCCTCATTGGAGTGGCACTTTTGTTCACTGCAGCTGTCATTTTTTGCTCTGAACCTTCCCCCAAAAGAGCACTTAGTGTTTCAAATAGTATTACGTAGTCATGACAGGATGCATCTTGGGTATAAAGAATTTTCTCTGGAATTGCATGCCTTTGCCTTTGCCTTTGCTTGGAATTTTCTGCCGGTAGTTTCTGTAATGTGATTCTCAGGTGTCAGTTATGAAGGAATTGATAAACAGGAAGTTTTTACTTGTAGATGAGGATTCTGAGGTTTGGGAGCATGATTAGACATTAAAGGAGTTGTTCACTTTAAAAAAAAGTTTTGCTGATAATTTACTCACCCCCATGTCATCCAAGATTTCCAAAAGAAATGAAGGTTTTTGATGAAAACATTACAGGATTTTTCTCCATATAATGGACTTCACTGGGAACCAAACGGTTCAAGGTCCAAATGAGAGTTTCAGTGCAGCTTCGAAGGGCTTTAAACGACACCAGACGATGAATAAGGGTCTTATCTAGCGAAACGATCGTATATAGCGAATGAATCTTTTTCCGAGTCAGTTCGTTCGCTTCGTTCGTTGAATGAACCAAATGACACGAAAAAAGATTTGTTCATTTTGATTAACGTGTTCGAACAGGAGAGTTACGAACGCGCATCACAGAACAGAGCAAGGCGAGCATTTGTGCTTATAAAACTTAAACTTTGTTATTTATTTTTTAAAATGAGCGATCGTTTCGCTTGATAAGACCCTTATTCATCGTCTGGAATCGTTTAAAGCCCTTTGAACAGTTTGCACTGAAACTATCTTTTGGACCTTGAACCGTTTGGTTCCCATTGAAGTCCATTATATGGAGAAAAATTTCTGAAATGTTTTCATCAAAAACCTTAATTTCTTTTCGACGGAAGAAAGAAAGACATGGACATCTCGGATGACAAGGGGGTGAGGAAATTATCAGCAAAAGTTTTTTTAAAAGTGAACTACTTCTTTAATTATAAGGTAAAGTGTCATTTTGTTTTGAGATGCTCAATAATTCGATAACATATCTGATTTTGTCTGTATTTTTGTCTGTATAGGCCAGGATTGCATGTTTATTTGTGCAATTTAAATGTTTTAAATATGTCTTACACTCACTTAAAGTAAATAATAACGATAAAGAATTAAATATAATCTTTAGAAAACTCAAAATGAATGTCAATTTTCCATACTCTGTGTAATAATGTTGTGATGAATGAAATTTTTGCTGTTAAAAGTATACGCAAACGTAATACAGGTCTTTATTACATTTGAATGGCCATCTTTAAGCACGACTCTTTGGAATTATATGAAATGGTAACACACTTTACAATAAGATTCCATTTTTAGCATTAACTAAGGTTAATACAAGTTGTAGAAGAATTATTCATTGTTAGTTTGTTAATTTCAACATTTACTAATGAATCTATTATTACCTTTATGTAATGAACTAACATGAATGATAAAGGTACAATTGTATTGCTCATATTAATACATGCAGTAAAACCGAATATTGCATAATGCATATAAGTTCATGAACGCTAGCTAATACATCCTTGTTTACAAATGGGACTTGCAATGTGTTACCTATGAAATGTTTCTAGGTTATAGCTAACGAAACCTGTAATATTTTAATGTTTAAATAATTTTCTGTATAAAGTTTTAATATATTCATATTTATATATTTATTTCAGTTCAGCACTGTTTTATTGTGAGTATTATGTTTTTTTTAATCCAGTATCCATTTAAAAAAAAATACCGGTTGAATTATCGGTTATCGGCATGTACGGTCAAACCTAAATATCGGTATCGGTAAAATCCACTATCAGTCGACCTCTAGTTAAAACAATTATATATATATATTTAGTTCTTAATTCAACCATTTTTGCTCTGATACTAAAATAGATACTAAGAACTGTGGAATTTTACCGTTATTGAACATTCTGGAACTGTGTAATCCCTAGTTAATATATGATAATTAACTGGTTATCAACTATTGCATTAAAATAATAGTTGTATAGGTATCGGCCAGAATTTTCTCTAGGATCTCAATTGTTTCTCTAGTTTTGTTTTTATTTTCAAGCATTGATTCGATGCATCACGTCCTGCCAGTAAAGGCCTGTACGTTCATTCTGTGGTGTGTTGGGTCAGTGGCCAATCTAGGTCAGGTTGTCAAAGCATGACTTGTGGATTCTATTACATACCTGGGAACTGTGCATAATGACCCTTGCATTTGTAATGTCAGGTGTTTGTCTGCTGGAAGCCTTGTTGTAACGTGTAACACAGTGGTGTACTACTACTAACAATGTCTCCTGAGAATGTCACTTGAAAAATAAACATTATCATCATCAGCCTTTTTTATACCTCCCTTCCTGTATTTATTCTGTCTATTTTTGTATTCTTCTACCTCGAAATTTCAACTGCAGTGCATTTTCAATCCAGACCATCTCAAAAATTAGGGATCATTCAAACGTGCTGTCGTTTTTGCAAACGCTTTTCTGTGATTTATCTGCTTATCTGTGACATACATAATCCAAGTTTATGAAGCGTCAGGATTTGAGCTGGAGTAGAAATCATCCGTGACTCCGTCGAAGGGCTGGGTCCACACACGAATTAGACACACTGAATATTCATGCCTGCAATAGAAGGTTACCGCTCTTGAATATTTAACAGAAGAGTGCATGAGTGATCTGGCCAGGCAGCCCACAATCACCCAGCCATGATGGTGAACTGCAGGCAGCGGTGTGTCATGAGTGATTCACCACAGAATGGCAGAGTGTTGCACAACAGCACTCGTGGACCCGTGAGAGGGTACTGACAGGCCTGACTGTACTCGCTCACAGCCAGGTTATTCCTAGTCTGATTGGCTGTTTGCCACTGAGTTGCATTCTCTTCCCACTAACAATGCACTCCAACATTGCCGTCGTGGGTAAACAAGCACAAGCTGACTGTGCATGTTTAGACCTGAAAGCTCTTTTGCCCACACCTGCTCTGCTCGCACACCTGCATACCCTCAATAAAACATTCTGGCTTCCGAAGTAACCAAACTTGTTTGTTCGTTCGTCACCCCCACATTTTTTCCAAATTTGGGGTAATTGTTTTTGGTTGAACTGTTTTGTTTGTTGCAGAAGAGGTACTTTCAGTGGCTAATTTTAACATATGTCGCAGATGCTGTGCAGTTCTCCTTTTTTGTTTCATTAGAGCTGGTTCTCCAAGCACAGAGAGAAAGAAATTATGACACAAATAGTTTTATTATAACAGTTATATCTGTGCTAGGGATGCACCGGTTTGAAAGTTTTTGTCAGTACCAATAATTATTTATATTTGAAAGCTGATAACCGATATATTGTAGCCTGACTTCGTCAGACTCATATTCTCTCTTGAAAATGAGTATTCAAGAGAGAAACCACAATGACCACAGGCTTTTCGTTACGTCCCATCTTCTTAACGACCGTCAGAGCCAGCTGATAAGTTACACTTTTCCCGAATCATGTAGGAAGGACGCCAAAAATATCTTTCCGATCGACAAATGCCTTGATTGCAGTTCTCTGTTTGTCTATTAAAATGAATGCACTGTCCATTTATTTTACAAAAGATGCGACAGCAAAATCCATACATCTCAATTCTGCATCTCAAGCGCTGTTTGATAACGTGATGATTACGGCAGATCATCTGTCCATCATCGTATAAAGCCCAACCTGGCAATCTGATTGGCCCGATCGTTTTTTGCCTGATCATAATTACTCCTCAATGGATCGAGTCCAGACCGAACTTCCCGACCAAAAAATAGTGTGGGCGGAGTTCGGGCTATTTTCTCATATGAGTGCACAGTCTTTCTATTCTGAAATCTTTGTCCCAACTCTCTTGATGTTCTTGTCCTTAGATCAGGCTCTGGTCCCACCGTTAAACCCGGAACACACCAAGCCGACGGTCGGCCGTCTGGCAGATTTTGTGTGTTGGCCAACTGAGGCCCCGTCCACACTACTGCGTTTTCGTTAAAAAAACGGAGAACTAAAACGAATACGATCTCCGTCCACAACAGCGTTTTATCTGCGTATTAGAAATGATCTCCTTCCACATTAAAACCACTAAAAACGCGGATCACGTGACCATTCACCAACACTGGGCATGCACGTGCCGGTGTAAACAGCGATTGACGAATCAGGGAAGGATACGTCAACACCCAATCATGGAACCATGCGTTTCTGAAGTCCTACGTTTTGTCCCGTCTACACTAAAACGCCCTCCGGAGATTCAAAACGCAAAACGGAGCTGGAGCATTTCTAAACTTCTCCGTTTTAGGTCTTCATTTTTCCCGTTTTAGTCTGGACGGGAGGTGCAAACCTGGCAAAAGGTCTCCGTTTTCAAACGAAAACGCAGTAGTGTAGATGAGGCCTAAGTCTCCTCGGTGTGATGCGCACGGTTCCGTGCCGTTGGTTAAAATTGTCCTCGTCGGCTTTGTTTCTCCCGATTCGCAGACTGATCTCATGAAGTAGCGTGGGTATGACACGCCAATTCATATTTCCATTTTTGGCGTGCTATCAAGACGCATAATCGCCTTTCAGCGTGTTTATGAACGCCGTTCACTTAACGTTATATAAATATATGACTTACCTCAACCCCGTCCCTAAACCTAACCGTCACTGGGGTTAATGGCATTTATGAGTGTTCCCTTACCATCCTAGGTAAAAAAAAAGATATGACTAACCTCAACCCCATCCCTAAACTTAACCG